ATAAAATTGCATATTATAAAAATAAACACTGCAGGATATTCAGAATATTTTAATAAAGTACTTAAGTAAGTATATAAGTAATTAAAAATTGGTTTAGTCCGTGAAAGAATAAATCTAAAACGTACAGTTTCTGAACGAGATTTTCTGGTTAACTATAATGTGCTATTCATACATTATTAAAAATTAAACAACCTTTAAAGTTTTAACTATGTTAAATCTGAAAATAAACTCTAAGAGTTACATATAAAAAAAAAACTATTTTAAATGTCGCCTGATAAATAGCATTAAACATATTATGTCTTATGATGTAGAAAATACCAATAAAGTGTCAGTAAATATATTGACCTTCATAAATATATTCAAAAACTTATAAAAGTTTAGTTACCTAACAAAAGTATACAAACTATTAGAACCGATGCTGGAGTTTCATAAGTGTCTGATTGCCGACGCCATTTTAATAACAATTTAAACCTCCGACTCAGTTGGAAATTTCAAGTCAGTGAAAAGTTTTTCAATAAGACGTGTTTCTTATTCTTCGTACTTTCCATTATCCTTTTTCCAAAGACTAGTCAACATTTCCTCACACAGTTTATACATAAAATAAGTTAAAACCAAGAATCATTTTTATTAATTTACAATATTTTTTCAGTTTATCTTAACCCGTAGTGAAAATTAGATGAATCACAAAAACTATAACCTTAAGTACCTATCTTAAAATATGTATGACTATTAATATGTCAAAAAAATATTTAAGTCCATGAGAACATTTCAGTTTTTATACATCAGATATTAACGGATCAATAAATAAATACATTTTTGTTTTACTCTGATGTTTACATGTCTGGAGTTTAAAGTACTACCGGTTTTTAATTTTTGATCAAAATACACTTTTTCTATCTCCAAAAATCTTGGTATAAAACAATATATACAATAATTATAATGTATCATTGTAAAATTGGCAGTTGTAAATATAATATAATATATTTAATTTAATTAAAAGCAACTAGCTAATTATCTGTATATTCCTATAATCTGTTGGTTCAACAAACGTAAAAATATTTAAAAAAATGAATCTGATTCATGATATAAAAAAACAAAATATATAATATTATGTTATAAATACAGTAGAACTTCCATAAAACGGTCACTGAAGGGACACTAGGACAAAAAATTTGACCGTTAACGGAATTTTACTGTAATATAAAAAATATACTATGATAAAAATATATAGTATAATATACAATATTAAAACTGTACAGCGTTTATATTATTATTATGACTAAAAATTAACTAAGAGTATAAACTATAAAAACTGTTTAGTTATAAAATACTGTTGAAGTTTAGAATTGGGCTTAGATTAATTATTTAACCAAGAGAAAAGTGTTAAAATCAATAAACCTTATTATTGGCATTCTAATTGGAGCACCATAATAATATGATTATGTTATTTTTAAAACAAATCTAAATCGCATATTTATAAAACAACTGACTAGGTATAACGTCATAATTTATTAAATATTTTTTAATAAAAACATTTCTATAACTATGTGATTTTATATCTTAAATGAAAATATCAAACGGTTACTTATACAGAGGTTTTATTTTTCTATATATATGTGTAATTTAAAATGGTAGTGAAATGAAACGTATCAAAGAAAACAGGATTATAATGTGATCTAGTTATAAAACTAAGACGTCAGAAAAAAAGTATTTTCCATTCAAGTATAATAATATTAATAGGTACTTATAATTTGTTCAAAAAAAAAAAAAAACAATGACACAGCTATTATCAAAGATAGTACCTACTTCAGTTCCATACGTTATTATTTAAGCAGCTTAAATGTTTTAAAAAATATTATCAATTAATTGTTTTTTTGATTATTATAATAACCAGCTGTACAGAACTAATTCAATATAAATATTGTGTTGTTAACTTAAAAACAGTTGAATAAATAGTTTGATAGCAGATACTGTAATCATTTTCTATTTAATTTTTTTTTTCATCAATAGGTATAATCGTTATTTTTCTACTAACATAAAAAATAATTTTGCAAATTTCCAAGGTGTATTGCATTTTTTTAGAAAAATTAAGCCAAAGATAGACTCTACTATATTTTCAAATAGTAAAAATACGTATCTATGTGGCTATGTCCTATATAACCATTAATCAGTATGCAATAAATCAATTCTTAAAAAATACGATTCTGAACTGGGATTATGATTACTTTACTTTAATATTTATAAAAATACTTTTTACAGTTATTTAAATTATCCATACAAATATTAAATGGTAATTCATTTCAATATTATATTTTGAAAATGTATTTTATGTAATATTAATGAACATTATTATATGCAGAGTTCTACATTGTACTATAATAATACGTTATTAATAATCAAAACAACAAAAAACAATTAAAAAAAACTGTCGTCATCCAAGAGTTTGGAAATGACAAAATAAAATTGTATGGCATCATTGTAAGGTGCTATAAGTTAAGAGGCGTGATATATACAAAAATGTATTGTTGCTTGAGAGCTAAAGGTCGCTCGTCATCCAACAGAGTGCACAGGCGCACAAACCAATATCGAATAAAACAGAAGAACGTTCTACGATAATACATTTTTATTAAGTACTTATGGCGATGAGATTAAGCAATAAATGTTGAGTAGGCACATTAATATCCCTCGATCAGCATTAAACTATACAATGTATAATATAATATAACAATTAATTAACAAAAAAAAAGAAATATTGTCCATTTTTTTAAATCTACACTTTCTTTACTAGTATAATAAGCCTAATAAGGTATAACAATTTTTTTTTACATTAATTCGTTTTCTTGTATATTTTTTGTAATAATACTCACATAATTATAAAAAGGTTACTTATATATTGCGTTCTCTTTGCAGTGCATGTAATATTATATTCCCAATAATAATAATAATAATAATAATCATAGTAATAATAATGATATTAAAAACTCAATGTTTAGTAGTCACTTTTCTGAAAGTGTCAAAGAGTAAAAAAACTAACGCAACATTATTTATTACTTTCACAAGTACCTATGAGTGTACTCATGGAGTGTAATGCAAAAAATATAAAATGACGAATTGAAATTAACTAAAATAATACCGTTTTCTGGCGACGACTATACTGAAACTGAGCGGAGAGATGGGTGTCTCCCGCCGAACAAAGAAAAATGAAAAATGAACTTCGAGGACGCATATCACGGTGACATCGGAAGAAAACCCGCGAAGAAAAAAGAAAAGATAAACGGTTTGCGATATTATTCTCTATTTTTTTTTACCAATACACCTCAATCTGCTGGAATAATACATTTTATTCTCTATATTTTTTAAAAGCTTATATTAAATAGTATAATTATACAAATTAGAAATTATAAGGCAGCATATTATTGTTAAAGGCACTCTCAACTCCAAAATAGCAGACTTTGTTAAACTTAATTTTTTTTTTTTAAAACATGACAATTTACAATATGTATAGTAATTTATAATTTATAATATAATAATATAGAGATAAGTCAATTTGTTAAATTAATATATGCTGTATAATATGGCATCATCAGTTTGATGAGGAAATCACACATTGCCACATTGGTAACACCTCTGAATAATACAACAGTACAAACTTTACAACAGTCGAAGGTCAGTGACAGTATATTATACTATAATATAATATCGGTCTCTGTGAAAAAGGGCACAAGTCAGTTTTTAAAAATTAAATATCATACTTTTGTTTTGAAAATAATTTTGATTGACTGGAAGCACTGATATTTGGCTATCTCGATAGATAATATTAGAGAGCTATTATAATAAAGGCTCTCTAGATAATATTATTGAGAATGAGATGGCGCCAGTCAATCCAGCGTAAAATTATTTTCAAAACAAAAGTATGATATTTAATTTTTAAAAACTGACGTGTGCCCTTTTTTTACAGAGACCGTTCTATTTAAGTATGCTTTTAAAATTCTGAAAATATAATATTATTATAATTTGTAATATTATACCTCCCGAGTGAGTTATACTGAGTATAGGTAGGTACCGGTAAAAAAACACCTTTTTGATGGGCCTGGTTATATTCTTATAATTATAACTTCTCTTTCAACGTTTACTCGTTATGTGAAAACTACGTTTTGTATACTCACACAAGTGTGTAGGTACGTACTCAAGTTAGTGGGTATGCTATAAACCCTTTTGTTTTTTTAATAAATTATTTTTTTTTATTATTATTAAGATTAGCCCGGCATCTGGCTGTCTAAGCCATGGGCTGATAATTGTTTACTTATATAATTTGACATACCTGATTGATGTTGTAACAATAAATTATCTATACTAATTTATTTAACAAGTTTTAGTATTCACTTGTCAGTTGTCTCTATTTGTTCTAGTGATTCACTATAGTGATTAATGGAGCAACTCGGGGATATTGTTTTGATTTCTGACAGTTTGTCGGCATTCAACAATTTAACTGCATTAACGGTAAATAATTTTATTGTGCTCTATACACGTTGCGCTTTAAGTTGGGTCTTGGGTGGTTCTTTGCACATAAGGTAGCCATGCATGTATTGGGTAGATATGCCTAAATATTCGACCCGTTAGAATGACATATTAATTTGTATTTGGTAACAATATTATTATTTATGAAAGCTTCATTAATATATACTTCATAATATTATGACTGTACAGTGTATAGTTATCCTCATCAAATCAACATAAAATAAATACTATTGAATAATAATTAAACATACTATGTGTTTATTTGTTTCAATTTTTAAATATTTAATTTGACTTCTTCATAGTTAATACTGAATAATTATAATTATGCTTACAAGGTATAATAAATTATGAAAGTTGAATTGTTATTGATATATTTTTTTACTATCACAATTCATGCACTTTGTTTAAGTCACATTACTCGTTTTTTGTTTTTGATATAGACGCGCCTATAATATAACACCAATGGTAGGTATTGACTATTATTATTTGCTAATGCCATCGTAAATATAGATTAGAAATTGAGGTGGACAATCACAATCATCATCATAGCTATCATCCGGTTCATAGACGACTGTAGTGGTGGCAGGGGTGGTAGGGACGGTAGGGGCGGTGGTGTGTGAAATAGTTGTGGCTTTCGTGACAGTCGTCGACGTGGTCTCGTTCAGGTCTTGGTCTGTTGTATCGGGTTCCAATCCTTCAAGATCTAACTGTTTATCACCTTCAGTGACGTAATCCGGTACCTCATAATCAGTGTTTTCATATGGTCGAATAACGAATCCAGACGCCAACGTAGTAACGCCCAATAGAAATGTAAATAAAACTTTTGCATTAATTTCTGTCAACAAAAATAATACACATACGAAAATTAATTTTTTCCGACCTACGAATGGAAGAAAGTGCATGTCAATAGTTTGATGCAGCTCCATTTCGTCTAATTATAAATATCTACCATCGGCCAAAGATTACGTTATAATATTGTACACGATATACGCATCTAGGAAATTTGCAGACATACACGCATGTACATTAAAATTATCAGAAATCAATTTTTTCAAAACAATTCCGATTTCCGAGTACCACTGTCCACAGTAATTATTAAGCCATGCATGTGTTAGTATAAAATAAAATTGATAGTTAAGTAAATTTTTGTTAAAAATCGTCTTTAAATAGCTATCGATAATAAATTAATAAAATAAAATACTGATTAGCAGGGCTAGGATTTATTTGCAACAGTGTTGCGAACCAAATGTGGAGTTCGGTTGACAAGGTCGAATCAAATGAAGTAACACGTAGTCAAATTAATTATTATTATAAATTTATTGACCAAAGCAGTGGCGTCCGCAGGGGGGGGGCTTAAGGGCTAAAGCCCCCCCCCCCATTACCCGTATTATTATTACTTTTTCAAAAAAATATTAATTAAGTTAAACTGTCAACTATAGTAAGCAAGACGTAAATTTCAAATATGTCTTACCAGAATGAATTCATTTTTGAAAAAACATTGTATTTGTAACATACCAATTTTCATAAATTATCTGTAATTTTTCGGTAAAAGTATGAACTATTTGTATGAAAGACCTTGTATTAAATTGTCTAGCCTTAGCTATACACATTTAATATTTTATAAGTTTTGAACTACAACTTAACTGTGGTTTTGACAATTTGAACTTTAAATGCTTATAAAAAATAAGCATGATGCCTATGTATCGTTAATATTTTAGCTATAATAAAAAAACATACGTATTACATTTTTAAGCTTTTTGACCGAATAAATAATTTTTTATTGACATTTATAGAAAAAAAAAAAATTTAATTATTCTAAAACAATCCAAGTGAAAACGGTATAACCAAACATTTAAATTAATTTTAATTTTTTTTCTCAAATTATTTTTAAAAGCACTGAGCATTTTTAATTTCAACCTCCTAATAGTACCAACTAGATCCAATTTGCTTCCAAAAACATACACCGGGCATCATCGAAGCTTATGATCAGAGCATTTTTTCTACCAGAAAAGTTGAAAAGTTACAAACATTTTAAAATACCTCAAATAAACGTCTGAAATTATTAGACTGGACAAAATGAAAAGAAAATTGTAACTAATTTTCAAGCCTCCCCCATTGAAAAATCCTGCGGACGCCACTGGACCAAAGGTTAGTGGTTAATACTTTTTAAGCATTCGGAGTAATGTTACAATTTAAGACAAATATCTCTAACATGAATACTGTCAACTAGTTGTCACGCAGAAATAGTGTGTCTGGTCTCCCTGCTGGGGAGCCTTTATATAGTAGACAGCAGTCAGATTACATGGTCCTTTACAAGGTCCCACTTAAGTATTCGCTATGGCTCCTCTGTACTTTAGAAACTAACTTTTCCTTGTGGCACTCGTTAATAGTAATTAATATATTGTGCCACGTACACCATGCGTAATACTGTAGTAATCATATTATATTCTTGTGTGGTCCTAGCCTTGGCTATTGCAACACCTCCCCCACAAAACGAGGGCTGATGTTTAAGAAGACCTCTAACTGTTGTCCTACGACTAATATTCAATATTCATACTTTACAAAAAATTATTGCATTACTCTGGTGGTATAATTATTCCTTAAATTATGTTAGTACATACACAGTACAAAATAATACATTTTTTTTTTTTTAAATTATTATTATTATATGACAAATTCACAATAATACAACATATACAAAGAATAGTTTTTAAGCGTAACCCCTTACATCAACATAGTCAGTAGTCTTTTTATAATCATTTTCTTAAGGCCTAAATACCCATACAACACCATACATGGAGCTCTACCCGCCCTACTTCTCGGAGTTGAAAAGTGTATAAAGCTACATAAATGCGCGGTTATTAAATCTATTTGATCCTTTGTGAAAGGACCCCCTAGCTCCGTGTTGGTGGTACTAATGTGAACCCTTAAACAAGATGGATTGTTATACCTATATGAATCCCTTGGATTCTCATGGAATTGATGGTTCATTGTTATCCTTAGCTGATCTATGAAGTGCCCCAAAAATGCTTTGTCAATTCTTACAGCACTCATTTTCGGGTTACAGTGATTTTCTATAATAATATATGTCATACAATAATGTTGTATATTTTTTGTTTATAATGAAACATCTATGAGTAAATTAATTATTACTATTCTTTAAATAATTTAACATGATTTTTATGTAGAGTAGCTATTCGTTTTTCTTTTTGTATTTTTACGTTATATTCTAATACTTTTATTACCGGATATATCTTTTTTGGGACTTCTGATTATTGATTTTGTCAGTAATGTCTACAAATCACCTCATGATGAGATAAATGGTGGTATTTTTATTTTGCATGTTTCTGCATATTTTGGATGAAATGCATAATATATAGAATAAAATGAATATTATTGCATATTTCGATTATATAAGAATGCAAAAAATACTTTATGCCTAGCATATTTCATAAAACTTGGTTTTTTTTGTCAAACATAAATTTTATTTTTATAAATACAATCCTATAGTAAAATAGGTATGAGATAAAAGATTGAATAGTTTGATATTAATTTTCGAAAATTTAAAAAAATATGTGGTCGTAGCATGTGACACACGTAGTGAATGTGAATTATAAATTTTAATTATACATTTTTTTTTCTCAATTATATTATATTAAGACAAACAGGCAGGCAATCACTGATGTATTCCAACAAATAAATATTTTTTTTGTAACTATATTTTTGTGCTTATCTTACAAAAATTGAAATGCATATTTTTGCATATTTTACCATTTTTTATTTCATACAAATCCTAGCCCTACTGATTAGTATTATTTAAATATTATTATATATTATATAATCTAACCAAAAATAAATATTTAATAAATATTATTAAACTTTTACTTACCCATTATCAAATGGAAGTTAAAAAATGTAGATACAAGAATAGTCTTTGGTAGCTTAAATTTTCCAATAAGTTAACAAACAGAAAAAAAATAATTGTGATTCAGTATAGTAATGTTCACTTCTTATAAGGTTTATTTTTACATTATAAATAGAAAGTATAATTTTTTATGTATTTTTATTCCACTAATGTTTTAAATGGGCTTGAAAAACTATAATCCTATAACAATACTTTCAAAATATATAGGTATTATTTTATGTATACACGGTAAGTGTAACATGAATGCTAAATCTGTAATGAAACCGAAGTAACTCACAACCTATTTTGTGGTAAGTAGGATTATGTATACAGTATAATACACTAACCTGCCTACACACTTTTATCATTACATTTTTACATGCAAATTCCTTAAAATAACTGTATTGTTTTCTGAATTGTGTTTTTATTTAATTACCAATAAACGATGTTATATAATATTATGCTATATAATAATATTTTAATTTTACGCAATAAATGGTATCTTAATTGTGTTATACTATAAATAACTATAAAAAATATACTTGCGCTAAATCCTTAGAAACGGCAAAGTTTTCCGATAAAACGTATTGTGTATCATACTTTATGTTAAAGCAATATAATTTACGTATATTATATGCACATATTTGAACTCACCTATTTTTTTATTGTAAGGTACCTACAGTTAATAATTTATTAATTATGTAAGTATTTAAATAATTTACCGTGCTTTGTTGATTATTATTATTATATGTTTATACGTTTATCAGAAGTCAAAGTTAAACACGAGATGCCCCAATAAACGTGCTATTATATAGTATTACGCGTATTTTTTTTTATAAAAATATTATAGCTTTGTTTAGCTAAATATGCAATATGTACACAACTATGGGAAAATCAGATTACGATAAGAAACAATACAGTTTAAAAGAAAAATAAGTCAGAAAAAACCTGTGGTGGAACTCTACAGTTGCCTTTTTTTGGTATAATGATTACCCGGCATAGGTAACTAGGTAATTTGTCATTTTTTCAGGCATTTTTTTACTAGTCCATGACGAGGTATAAGTATAAGTGAGTATAACACAGGTCTTGCGATGAGTTTGTTTGAATGAGTGTTGAGTTTTGAATGGAACCATTTGCAGAATATTGTGGGACAGTTTCGTTAATTGTTTTCGTGTGCAGGAAGTTTGAATGAAGTATTCGTCATTGGAAACAAGCCACGGAGCTTTGGTGATGAGGTGGAGGCCGATTGATTAGTTTTATTGTTCGAATGCTTAGTGGAGCTCGGTATGACAATAATTTTATTCCGTATGTCTTCGTTAGTGACTTGTCACAGGTACCGTGGAACACGTTTTTTTTAATAAAGCGATTTTCGAACCATTTAGAGTTTATGAAAAAAAGACAATGTTCCCCTGACAACATTTTGTCCAAATTAAATTTTATAATAAACTATATATGTCAAGACCCCATTATGTTTCCCATTCAATAAGTGACATTTCCCTTTTAACAAACAATAATACTAAACATTTTTATTTATTTTTTTTGTTTTGTAACAATAAGCAAATACAATTATTTTATCACTCACATAAAATTGTTTTTTTTTTAGGAATATATTATTCGATTATTGTAGTGTGTATATTAACAAATGAAACTTAGCTGATGTAGAGTGAAACACACCTTTACAGACAGTTTATCATATATGAAGAAGAAAGACTACAACATTCCCTATAACCTATATATATTATATATGAGCTAGTATGGCTACTACTTGTGTCCCGTGGTAAAAATGATAAAATTAAATATTACTTATTGTGGAATATATAATTTCATATTGTTCTAACTTCATTATCCTTCCCAATTTGTACACAGACTTAGGAATGTCTGTAGGTAGTATCATTACTACAGTTAAGTTGAAAATGTTGTTTTATTTTTATTTTAATTTTTGTTCAAATGTTTTTTGGTCTTATTTTTTTTTTTAATTATGTCAATTATGACATTATATGATAAAATAGATAAAAAAACGTA